GTTCATCCTCACATCAGGTCAATGCACCTGCAATCGCATTGAAATGGACCTAATAACAGTCACAAGGTTTCAGACCCGAAACGTCAGCTTTCCTGCTCCTCTGATGCTACCTGGCCTGCTGTGTTCATCCGGCTCCACACCTTGTTATCACAGTCACAAATGAGATACTCTGACAGGAATCATGGTGTGCTATCCCCTCTAGGCCCCTCTGCCACCTTAGATATGATTGACCAAACCATCCTCCTCAACACCTGGACTCCATACTCCAGCTGTCCTGCAAATCTAATGCTTGGTTTCTCTGAAAATTATTTCAATCATAAATGTAGAAATGGCTTTTTTCCTGCTGCTCCTATTCCAGTGTCACCCAGTAATCCAACCTAGATTTCTTTTTAACTTCCCGATTGATTTTGGTGGCTGCATTTAAATACACAAGTTTCCATATATGTTGACAAACCTCAATCACTGCTTCCATTACCTCTGTGTTGCCTGGCTGCTTGTTTGACATTCAGACTTGGATCAGCTGCAATTTCCTCCAACTAAAGATTGTGAAGAATGTTCTGAGTTGAGTTCCGAACAAGAGTCACAATGAAACGAAATACCAGCCTTTCTGCTCCTATGATGCTGTTTGGCCTGCTGTGTTCATCCAGCCCTGCACCTTGTTGTCGCGGATTCTCCAGCATCTGCAGTTCCTACTATCTCTGATTCAAACGAAATATTAACTCAGTTTCTCTCTCTACAGAGGCTACCAGATCTGCTGAGATCTTCCAGCAATTTTTATTTTTATTTCAAAATTCCAGAAGCTTGCCATTATATTCTGGAAGAAAACTGGTGATGGACAATAAATACTGTCTTAACCTGTGATGCAAATGTCTTAAAAACAAAAAAAAATCCAAATCTACTTCTGTTTCCCACTGACCTGTCCATATGGTACTACACTGCAGAGATGTTTCTAAAGCTGATTACTCTATATCGACTTTGGTCCTCCATTCACAATAACTATTCTGCATTTAGTATACATGGTCATTCCATCAATTTCATCTTGCTCACAGAACAATTATGTAAACTCTTTCCCTCAGTTACAGCAGTCACTTATTTTAATGGCATAAAAGACATTAAATGACTTGGACAGCTTAAATGAGTGGTGAGAGGCATTCTGTATTTTTAATAGTGAATTGATGATAAACTCAGAATGATTTGAAGTCCACTCTACTGCTTCTATGACTTTATCTTAGGCCTCATTTATTCATATATTTATTAAATTAATTTGTAGTCAGAATTGCTTCACATGTGTAAAATACTATTCACTGGATTTGATAACTTACCTTTGGTAGATCTTTATTGGATCTATCCTTTTAAATATTACTGGAATCTAATTGCACAGACCACCCGCCTCCTATATTCTTACTTTTTTTTTGTTTTTCAGTGGCTTGTGAAGAATACAGGAGAAAGATGAGCTGTCCTCTTAAATTAAGATCTTAAACATACTTCTCATGGAAAGGTCTCCAGAAGCTGCTCTTTTGCTTAGCCATCCTTCAGATCTAATTTTATATCTTCCCTTGGAGATCACTTGGTTTTGGGTAAGAAAGTATCACAGTGCATAGAACTTTTCCTGGCTTTCATTTATCATAAAAAAGCACCAAAGCACCAGGTACCCAGGTTTGACTCCAGCCTTGGGTGACTCTCTGTTTGGAGTTTGCATGTTCTCCCTGTGTCAGCATGAGTTTCCTCTGGGTGGTCTGGTTTCCTCCCATAGTCCAAAAACGTGCAGATTAGGTGGATTGTTCATACTGAAATTGTCCAATGTTTTCAGACATGTGTTAGGTTAGGTGGATTAGCCATGATAGGTGTGGGATTATGGGTTACAGTAGGGGGCTGGGTCGGGTGGAATGCTCTTTGGAGGGTTGGTGCAGATTCAACAGGCTGAATGGCCTCCTTCCGCACTGTAGGGATTCTATGATTATCAAATTGCTACTTGTGTGAACTTCCTATAAACAGACTGACATGGACCTTACAACAGTGGCTGCATTTTAAAAAGTACTTCATTGGCTGTAACATGCTTGAGAATGTCAGTGGCTGCGTAAGGTGCTATATAGATGCAAGTCTAATTTTGCTAAATACTACAGTATGCGCCAAACAAACTGTGTCTTTGGAATACTGGCAGCCTGTTACTGACGCAGACAGTTTGAATATTTGTCAATAAATGCCTTGCAACACCGCTTTTTTCAGGCTGACAATTTATTGCCCAGACTGAACAGCCCTGGGACAAACTCCAGCAGAAATGAATCTTATTTATTAGTGATTATAGTTATGACTTAGAAAAGTGAATACAATAAACCAATTAATTGTTCATATTCATTATCACACAGGAGAGAAGAGCTCCATATGACCCAATGCTAAGGGTTCAACTCACTTAATCTTAGAACTTTGTGAATATTGCAGGGGAGTATGCATGGTTGAAATTCCTCTACACGCTATTTTGAATGCAATGGCTAGTGCATTCATGCCATATTCCTGTATACACTGTTGTAGCAGACTAGATGTAGCCTAGGTAGCCTGGCGTCTACATGTTTTATTCTAAATGGTTTGGCAACTTAGTTAAGTAGATCACATGGGAAATTAATACTAATGTAATAATTATTGGATGCTATAAACAACAAAAGGAAGAATGGCAAATTCATTAGTTGTTGCTTCCAGGCTTAATGTAGGCTTTTCCTAAAGTTTTAAAATGTGGTTTAGCAAATTAGCTTATAAATTCAGGCCAGTAATAAAAAGAACATAAGCAACTTGAATACAATGTTGGCTGAGGGAAAAGAAACAGAGGGTAATAGTTAATGGATATTTTTCAGGTTGGAATGTTTAACGTGGAATTCCCTAAGGGTTGGTATTGAGATTCTTGCATTTCTACATATACACATATAAAAATAAATGATCTGGATCTTGCGAGATAAGTATTTCAATAGAAACACTGTGCAGGGTTATGGGGAAAAGACGGGATTAAAAAGGTCACATTGCCGATGGAGTCACAATGGATCAATTTTTAAAAAAAATTAATTCACAGAATGTGGGAGTCACTGGCTAGGCCAATATTTATTGCCCATTTCTAATTGTATAAATGGCAGTTAAGAGTCACAGAATCCTTACAGTGTGGAAGCAGGCTATTCAGCCCATCGCATTCGCACTGACCCTCCGAAAAGCATCCCACCCAGACACCACCCCACCGCCCCCGTACCCTTTCCCTGTAATCCTGCATTTCCCATGGCAAACCCACCTAGCGCCTACATCCCTGAACACTATGGGCAATTTAGCACGGCCAATCCACCTAACCTGCATATCTTTGAATTGTGGGATGAAAGCGCAGCTCTCACAGGAAACCCACGCAGACAGGTGAATGTGCAAACTCCACACAGACAGACACCTGAGGGTGTAATCAAACCAGGGTCCCTGGCACTGAGAGGCAGCAGTGCTAACCAGTGAGCCAGTGTGCTGCCCCAATCACATTGCTGTAGGTCTGGAGTCATATGCAGGCTAGACCAGATAAGGATGGCAGTTTCCTTCCCTAAAGGACATTAATGAACCAAAAGTTTGGGTTTTTTGATAATTGATAATGTCATCAGCAAATGTGAACATATGACTTTGTAGCCTATCAACTAAGCTTTTAATAAATATGATAAATATTTGAAGCCCCAACATAGATCCTTGCAGCACACCATTGGGCATATCCTTCCAATTTAGATACCTGTACATTATTCCTGCTCACTGTCTTCTGGCATTAGTCAATGTCCTAATCAGGTCAGTAATTTTTTGAGCTTCATTAAGCTGACAGTCTCTAATGAGGAACTTTGTCAGTTGCCTTTTGGACATCTATATATAACTCAGTTATCAGCCACTATCAAGCATTTAAAAACAGCATACACCTTCTCATAAATGCATGATATTTGTATGTCAAGTTTTCCACTCCCATGTACACTCCAATACATTCCTCACAGTCTCCAACAGTTTAATAGGTCTGTAATGGACAGTAGAGATTTTGGAGCAGTTGGTTGTCTCACAAAACATTTACAACAAGCTGTATATTTGTAAGGGGTTATGGATTTGCATTATTATCAGGAGAAGACTGCAAGTATGCAGACTGAACTGTGACTGTTGTCAATGTGCTGCACAGTTTAGCTCATTAGATGCCAGAAGAGCATACAGTCTATTCCTGAAGCTCCAGTGCAATACTGAGGAGATGTTACACTGCTGGAGGTGTTTGTTATCTTTTAGGCAAGTCATTAAACCAAGGCATCATCCCTACTTGGCAAGTGGACATAAAATATTCAATGGCACTCTTCAAAGAAGAACAGAAAAGATGTCTCTGGACTTCTGGCCAACATTCATGACTTAACCAACATCCAGAATCGTATTACCAGCTGCTATTTGTGGGAGTTTGTTGTGTGCACCTTTGTTGGTGTGTATCCTTCGTTACAATAAGTACACTTTAAAAATACATAATTGACTGTAAAGTCCTTTGGGGTGTTTTGAGATTGTTAAATAGTACAAAAATGCATTTTTTTAATCTCTGGAAAGGAAATGAGAAACAAAAGGTTGCTTAATATTTGATTGCAAAAAATACTCCTTTACACGGATAAGGTACACTTTTACAGTGGTTTTAGCCGGTATTGCCAGCACAGCTGTGCATTCTTACCATTGCGTCGTATCCCAGCTTGCGCATGAAGTGAGCAGCCTCAGCACCCTTGAAATAATTGAACCAGATGGTCCCCTGGTACTGATCCCCGGCATCCAGCAGCAGCACATTCTTCTCTTTCTCCCTGATCTGGCGGATTGCTGTCAATCTCCTGGCCACGCCTGCGTAACAGTTGGAGGCACACACGCTCGAATCCTCGCTCGTCTCCTCCACCCTGGCGTGCACATCGTTAGTGTGAAGAATCGTGAGTTCCAAGGAAGAAGTGCGTATGATACAAATGACACTGAGCAACCCGAGACACCGCAGCAGAGGACAGACACAACCCATGGTGAGCGAGCGAGCGAGCGTCAGCCTGGCGTGCCGCTGCTCCACCAGGATTAGATAAACTTGAACCCTGAAGTCTCCACTGCATGCAAGCGGTAGGCGGAGCATTTATTCAGTTTAGGTCATACTTAGTAACTAATGTAAAACGCACGGGAGTTAATTATTGGCTCCATAGTTTCAGGTTATCTGCAGAAATTTGACAACATTTGTCGACAAAATAGCGTTTTATTGTGCACATGTTTAAATCTTTACATTATCCCACCACTCAAGCGTGCCGGGAACTTTTCATAAGTCACTAATTTTTAATATTAAGCTCTGACTACGGTGGTGGCACTTACTTGAAGGTTCTGATGCTGTTCTAAACACGAACACAAAAACCAGGCTCACTATGCACTCCAGACCTTTCGATTGGAAGATCATTATTGCTGAAGTGTTGTCGAAGATGCATGTGGAAGTCCCGGACAGCTGACACCGCAGGAATTGCTTACGTTGGGTAAGTTCGAAAACATCTCAACCTCTCAATTAGAGTTGGTGTAGTTGCATGGTTCCGAACTCTATTTATGTGTTGCTGGGACGTGGGCATCACTTACCAGGCCATTGTCGTCCTTAAGATGCAACGACACACACAGTGCTTTAGCACGGAAGGTCCAGGAGTTTTGACGGGGCAACAGTGAAGGAATGGCGATACACTTCCGAGTCAAAATGCTGTATGACTTGGAGAGGAACTTTCAGGTCGTTTAACACAGCAGTGAGAGAGGAGGCAGTAAGAGGATATATTGTTGCCCGGGGTCTAGCACTTCAGCTTCAACACAACAGTGAGAGAAGAGGCAGCAAGAAGTTATATTGAGCAAAAAACCGAAAGAACTGCGGATGCTGGAAATCAGAAATAAAAACAGAAATTGCTGGAAAAAAACTCAGCAGGTCTGGCAGCATCTTTGGAGAGAAAACAGAAATTATGTTTCGAGTCCAGTGACGCTTCTTCAGAACGGGTTCTTCAGTTCTGAAGAAGGGTCACTGGACCCGATCCTGGGCTTCAATATATTCTCTTGCTGCCTTCTGTCTCACTGCTGTGTTGAACCAGCTGCAAGTTAAACCTCAAAGATTGCAGTGGCCTCGTGAGTGATGCCCGTGTCCTATTAACACATAAATATAATTCAGGATCCTCCAATTCCTCTCTAACTGAGAGGTGAGGATGTTTTCGAACTTTCCCAATGCAAGCAATTCCGCGTTGTCAACTATATGGGACTTGCACATGCATCCTCCAACAAAACTTCAGCAATGATGACCTTCCAGTCGAAGGGTCTGGAGTGTTAATGCTGCTTTCTCTCCACAGGTGCTGCCATACTTGCTCAGCTTTCCCAGCAATTTCTGTCTTTGTAGGTTATATTGACGTTCAGGATTAGGGACCCAGCACTTCACCTTTCATAGAACAGAGAGGAAGGAGACAGCAAGAGGCTTTTCGGATGGACAATTAAGAGTTAACCACCTAGCTGTGAGTCTGGAGTCATTATCAGGCCAGACCAGGTAAGGACGGCAGATTTCCTTCCCTAAAGGATACGAGTAAATTAAAAGGGTTTTTTTGAGTCATGGAGTCATAGAAATCTACAGCACAGGAAAAGAACCTTTAGCCCATTGAGTCAATGATGGCTAAAACAAGCACCTAACTATTCTAATCCCCTTGGCCCTCAGCTTTATATGCCTTGGCATTGCAAGTTTACATCTAAAACGTTCTTAAGTGTAATGAGGACTTTGACCTCTACCACTCTTACAGGCAGTAAGTTCCAGTGTTCTCACTACCCTCTGGATGAAAAAATCTTTCCTCTAAGCTTCCTGCCCTTTACCTCAAATCTATGACCTTTGGTCATTGGTCCCTCCACTAAAGGGAAAGGTTCTTCCCTGTCTACTTTATCTATGCTCCTGAAAATATTTTATATCTCAATCATGTCCCCCCTCAGTCTCTTCTACAACTGCAGTCATAGAATAATACAGCACAGAAACAGAAACTTCAGCCCAACTCATTCATGCCGACCAGTTTTCCTACACCGTACTAGTCCCATTTGCCTGTATTTGGCCTATATCCCTCTAAACCTTTCCTATCCATCTACCTGTCCAAATGTCTTTTAAGTGTTGTAATTGTACCCACCTCTACCACTTCCTCTGGCAGCTCCTTCTATATACACACTATGTGAAAAAATTACCCTTCAGGTCTCCTCTAAATCTTTCCCCTCTCACATTAAACCAATGCCCTCTAGTTTTGGACTCCCATACCCTGGGGAAAAGACCTTGGCTATTCACTTTAGTTATGCCCCTTCATGATTTCATAAACCTCTACAAGGTCATCCCTCAGCCTCCTATGCTCCAGGGAAGAAACTCCCAGCCTATCTAGCCTCTCTTTATAAACTCAAACGTTCCAGTCTCGGTAACATCCTTGTAAACTTTTGTTGCACCCTTTCCAGTTTAATAACAAACTTCCAATAGCAGGGTGACCAGTCTAGAATGCAGTACTCCAAATGTGGCCTGACCAATGTCTTGTACAGGCATAACCTGATGTCCCGACTCCTGTACATAGTGCTCTGACCAATGAAAGCAAACGTGCCAAATGCCTTCTTCACCAACCTGTGTACCTGTGATGTTACTTACAAGGAATTATGTGCCTACACCCCTAGGTCTCTCTGTTCAACAAAACTCTCCAGTGTCCTACCATTAACTGTGTAAGTCTTGTCCTAGTTTGTCTTACCAAAATGTAACATCTCGCATTTATTTAAATTAAACTCCATCTGCCATTCCTCAGCCCACTGACCCAGTTGCTCAAGATCCCCTTGTACTCTAAGATAACCTTCTTCACCATTCACTATCCCACCAATTTGGTGCCATCCGCAAACTTACTAACCAAGCCCACTATATTCTCATCCAAATCATTTATATAAATGACAAACAATAGTGGATCCAGCAGCAATCCTTGCAGCTTACTGCTGTCAGATGTGGGAGATCAGGGAGCATTTCAATGTTCCTGGAGATTACATCTGCAGGAAGTGTGTTTGGATGTGAATCTATCGGATCATATGGATCAGTTGAAGCAGCAGATAGAGGCAGTAAGGAATTTAAAGGAACCATGGGTGTGATGGACGACAGTTTCAGGAAGGTTGAAGAACTGCAGATACAATCAGATAGATGGGTTACTGCTAGGAAAGGTAGGCAGGTAGTGCAGGAGTCTCCTGTGGCTATCCCCATCTCAAACAAGTATGCTGTTTTGAATGATGTTAAAGGGTGATGGCCTCTCAGGGGAATATAGCACTGACAGCCAGGTTTCTTGTACTGAGACTGGCTCTACTGTAATGAGGGGTATGCCAGGTTCCAAGTGATCGATTGTGATCGGGGATTCTTTAGTCAGGGCACAGACATATGTTTCTGTAGCTGACAACAAGACATCAGAATGGTGTGTTGCTTCCCTTGTGCCAGGGTCAAGGACACCTTGGAGAGGGTGCAAAATGTTCTGAAAGGGGAGAGTGATCAGCAAAAGGTCATTGTAGATATTGGTACCAACAACAAAGGATGAGAAAGGGACAAGGTTCAGCAGAGAGAATGTAGGAAATTAGGCAGCAAGTTAAAAAGTAGGTCCTTGAGGGTAGTATTATCTGGATTACTCCCAGTGCCATGTGTTAGTGAGAATAGAAATAGGATGGGACAGATGAATGTATGGCTGAGAAGATGGTGCAGGGGGCAAGAATTTATATTTTGGATCATTGGCATCTCTTTTAGGGTAGAAATGACCTGCATAAGAAGGACGGGTTGCACCTGAATTGGAAGGGTGGCAATATCCTTGTGGGGAGATTCGCTAGTGCTACATGGGAAGCTTTAAGCTGTTAAGGGGAGGTAATTGAGTGGGAAATAATCAGCGGGAAATTGAAAAACAAATATGTAAGGAGATCTCAGTTATCTGTAAGAATAATAGGGTTGTAATAGTAGGTGATTTTAACTTTTCAAACATAGGCTGGACTACCGTGGTGTTAAGGGCTTGGATGGAGAGGAATTTGTTAAGTGTGTACATGAAAATTTTCTTCTTCAGCATGTACATATGCCTACTAGAGAAGGAGCAAAACTTGACCTTCTTTTGGGAAACATGGCAGGGCAAGTGACTGAGGTGTCAGTGGGGGAGCACTTTGGGGCCAGTGATCATAATTCTAATAGTTTTAAAGTAGTTATGGAAAAGGATAGAACTGATCTAAAAGTTAAAGTTATAAATTGGAGTAAGGACAATTTTGAAGGTATTAGGCAAGAACGTTCAAAAATTGATTGGGAGAGGCTATTAGCAGGTGAAGGGACAGGTTGAAAGTGGGAGGCCTTCAAAAATGAGATAACAAAATTTCAGAGACTGTTAGTGCGAAGGGCAAAGCTGGTTGGTGGAGGGAATGCAGGATGACAAAGAGAAATTGAGGCTGTGGTCAAGAAAAAGAAGGAGACGCATGTCAGGTACAGACATCAGGGATCGAGTGAATCCCTGGAGGAGTATAGCGACATAGGAGTATACTTAAGAGGAAAATCAGGAGGGCAAAAAGGGGACATGAGATATCTTTGGCAAATAGGATTAAAGAGAATCCAAAGAGATTCTAGGAATACATTAAGAGCAACAGAGTACCTAGGGAGAGAATAGGACCCTTTAAAGATCAACACTGCTGTATGTGTGGAACCACAGGAGATGGGTGAGATACTAAACAAGTATTTCACATCAGTATTTGCTGTGGAGAAGGATGTGGAAACTAGAGAACTTGGGAAAATAAGTAGTAAGATCTTTAAAAGTGTCCATATTGCAGAAGAGGAGGTGCTAGATGTCTTAAAATGAATTAAGCATTTATATATAAATATAATATAAGCATTTATATATAAACATAAGTCCCCAGGACCTAATCAGAGGTATCCCAGAAATTTGTGGGAAGCTAGGAAAGAGATTGCTGAGCCCCTTGCTGAAATATTGGTATCATTGACAGCCACAGATGAAGTGCTGGAAGACTGGAGGTTGGCTAATGTGGTGCCATTATTTAAGAAATTTGGTATGGAAAAGCCTGGGAACTATAGACTGGTGAGCCTGATGTCAGTGGTGGGTATGTTGTTGGACGGGATTCTGACGGACAGGATTTACATGGAAAGGAAAGGACTGATTAGGGATAATCACATGGAATCCAGGGGGAGTTCGCCAATTGGATGCAAAATTGGCTTGACGGTAGGAGATAGAGGGTGGTGGTGGAGGGTCATTTTTGGGATTGGATGCCTGTGGTCAGAGGTGTGCAGTAAGAATCAGTGCTGGGTGCACTGCTTTTTGTCACTTATATCAATGATTTGAATGTGAATATAAGAGGTATGTTTAGTAAGTTTGCAGACGGCACCAAAATTAGCAGTGTAGTGGACAGTGAAGGTTATATCAGAGTACAACAGGACATTAATCAGAAGGGCCAATGGGCCGAGGAGTGGCAGATGGAGTTTAATTTAGCTAAATGTGATGTATTGTATTTCGGTAAGGCAGTTCAGGTCAGGACTAATACCGATAATGGTAGTGTTGCTGAATAAAGGGACATAGAGGTACAGGTGCATAGTTCCTTGAAAGTGGAGTTTGTTGAAAGTGTTTCATTGGTCAGTGCATTGAGCATCAGACTTGGGTGTCATGTTACGGCTGTACAGGATGTTGGTTAGGCCAATTTTAGAATACTTTGTTCAATTCTGGTCTCCCTTCTATAGGAAAGATGTTTTTAAACTTGAAAGGGTTCAGAAAAGATTTACATGGACATTGCCAGGTTGGAGGGTTTAAGCTATAGGGAGAGGCTGAATAAGCTGGGGCTTTCTTCCCTGGGATGTTGGAGGCTGAGGGATGACCTTATAGAGGTTTATAAAACCATGAAGGGGCATGGATAGGGTGAATAGCCAAGGTATTTTTCACAGGATGGGTAGTCCAAAACCTAGAGGGCATAGGTTTAAGGTGAGAAGGGAAAGATTTAAAAGGGACCTGAGGGTCAACTTTTTGTGGCAAAGGGTGGTGGCATGTATGGAACAAGTTGCCAGAGGATATGGTGGAGGGTACAATTACAGCATTTAAAAGGCATCTGAATGGGTACATAAATAAGAACGGTTTAGAGGGATAAGAACCAAATGCTGGCAAATGGGACTAGATCAGTTTAGCATAGCTAGTCAGCATGGATGAGTTGGACCGAACAGTCTGTTTCCATGCTGTATAACTGTATGATTCTATCAACTCCTTAATGCTACTTTCCTGCACTATCTCCTTATCCTTTAATAACCTTAGTGTCCAGAAACCTCTGGATTTATGTCTTGATAGCTACTCTGCCCACTCATTGATTGAGCTTCTACAGTCCTCTGGGATAGACAATTCTACAGATTGATCACTGTTGACTGAAGAAATTCCTTCTCTGACCTTCTTAAATTACCCATCCCGTTAACTGAGATTATGTCTCCGAGACTCACCATCCGGGAGAAACATCTTTGTCCACTCTGTCAGAATCTTATGAGTTTTATAGGGATCACCTCTCATTCTTCTAAACTCTAGGAATATTAACTGAGTGTCCTCACTCTCTTCTCATAAGACAAGAAGAAGTGGAGCGAATCTAGGGATGAGCAGTGGTAATGGAACTTCCCAATGAAAGCCTGAAGTATGAAGCTTAGATTGAGCTCAGTCAGAGCAAGAATGGAAATGGAGCACAGAGGACCAGAGAGAACCTTCACTGAATCCAGAGGCAGAACGTCTGAGGTGATGCCCAGATGCCAAAAGTTATGCTGGACCAGAGGAAGCAGCTGATTGGTTGAGTAAGATCGGGTGATTATTTATACTATTTTTATTGTCTATAGTTTGTAAGGTCTTGATTTTGGGTTTGAATTTATTAAGGACAATAGTGCAGAAATTCCAAGAAGAATGGTCCTAGTGTAATTGTGAATATTATGTGATTTTAAGGACAATTTAAAGGGGTAAGTCATGGAAGGAGAGCTCCAGACACTGGTGTGCTCTTCCTGTCCTATATGGGGAATTGGGTACGGTTCCAGTCCCCAGTCCGAGAACATGCCCTCAAGTCCTTAGAAAACAATGAAACTTCCTGAAATAACATGGTGTAGAGTCTTCAGAAGAAGGGTCTCGACCCAAAATGTCAGCTTTCCTGCTCCTCTGATGCTGCTTGGCCTGCTGTGTTCATCCAGCTCTACACTGTGTTATCTCAGATTCTCCAGCATTGGCAGTTCCTACTATCTCTGTAACAACTTCCTGAAATGACGGTTTACCGGCTGAGTTTTATTCAGCTGTATGGGACTTGATTGGTCAGGACCTGTTTGAGGTGTACGACAGTATGCTTCTGGCAGGTACCATGAGGAAATACAATGAGGAAAGATATTATCACCTTCATCTACAAGCAGAATGGGGTGAGGGGGGAAATTCAAAATTGGTGGCCAGTATCATTTGTGAATGCGGACTACAAAATCCTGTCTAAGGTCATTGCCAACCAGGTCAGGTCTGCTCTGGGATTGGTGATTCACCCTGATCAAACCTGTGCTGTACTGGGCAGGACTATCTCTGAGAGCCTTGCGCTCCTCAGGGATATGATCGCCTATGTACAGGACAGCGGGATGGATGCCTGCCTCATCAGCCTGGACCAGGAGAAGGCCTTTGAAAGGATATTGCACGCATACATGTGGGACGTGCTGTTCAAAATGGGCTTTATGGAGGGAATCTGCAATTGGATCTGACTGCACCAACATCATTAACACAGTCTCAATGAATGGGTGGGAATCAGAAAGCTTCCTGATCAGATCCAGAGTGGCAGGCAGGCTGCCCACTCTCTCCTGCCTTGTTTGTGTGTTGTATAGAGCCATTTGCTGACTCCATCAGGAAGGAAGTTATCCTGAGAGGGGTGACTATTCCAGGCAGCGGAGGCCTGCAGGTCAAAGCCTCCCTGTACATGGATGACGTCGCTGTTTTCTGCGTGGATTCACTGTTAGTGCGCAGACTCATGAGCATCTAGTTCAAACTGGCCTTGGGTGCCAAAGTAAATTGAGGCAAGAGTGAGGCCATGTTCGTCAGGAACTGGGCCAACCAATCCTTCATTCCATTCACCGTCAGGACAGATTACCTGAAGGTACTGGGAACACTTTCAGAAGGAACAGGGCATGCACAAAATCTTGGGAGAAGTGCACTGACAAAGTTAAGTGGAAACTGGTCCTTTGGGAGCACTGCTCCCTCTCCATTGCAGGTAAAAACCTCATCATCAGGTGCAAGGCACTGTCTCTGCTGTTGTACATAGCAGAGGTATGCCCTATCCCCCAGAACTGCAATGTTTCAGTCACCCGAACCATCTTCCATTTTATCTGGAAGCCTAAGGTAGACCGGGTATGCAGGGGCTCCACATACAAAACTGTGGATAAGAGGGGGAAGAACACATTTGTATGTGGCTGCATCAAGCTCTGCATAGACCCTCGGTATGTAAACACCAAGTGTCACTATGTACTGAGGTTTTACCTGTCCCTGGTCTTGCGAAGGATGGGACTAGCCTCGCTGCTGTGGAATGCTCCAAGTAGTTGGACCATTCCATGTCATCCGTCCTTTGTCGGGAAATTTGGAAAGAAAAACACCTTTGACCACAAGTCCATCAGGAAGTGATCAGCACATAGCATCCTCGAAACCCTAACGGAAAAGGAGAGGGTGGATCCTGTGGCACGGTTCCCTGAGGAGGCTGTCAAAGTCATTTTGCAGAATGTCTCATCACCAGAACTTGGCTGGTGGTGAGAAGGTCACTACCTGTGAGATCCTTTATGTACGCCCAGTCAGCCTGCATGACCGCACACTGCCCTTGAAGTGGCTGCAAGGGTGTTGAGACTGTCACACATCTCTTTCTGGAATGTGCCTTTGCAAAGGCAGTCTGGAGGAAAATGTGGTGGTTTTTGTCAAGGTTCAACCCTGGCAGCTCTGTGACCCGAGAGTCTGTGCTTTATGGCCTGTTCCCTGGGACGCACACTGAGACAAACATCAACTGCGCATGGAGGTCCATCAGCTCGGTGAAAGAGACTCTTTGGTCTGCCCAAAACTTGTTGGTCTTCCAGAATGAGGAGTTGACCCCGACCGAGTGTTGCACACTGGCACTTTCTGAGGTCCAGCACTACGTGCTGCGGGACGCACTAAAGCTTGGGCAGCTGCCGCCAAGGTGCAGTGGGGAAAAATCACTGTCTGAAGTCTTTATGCTGAAGATAAATGGGGGTCCGTTCAGTTATCGGACGCTCCTAGTGTGTTAAATATATGTAAATATTAGTAGTGCATGTGTAAGTGAGGTCTTTGGTTTTGTGGACAATCTAACTCCAATGTTTTGTGTGTTTACTTGATTTGCAACTGTGCAGAACCGAACTGCTTTTGTGTCAATGTATATATATGTATATCATAGAATCCCTATAGTGTGGAAACAGGCCCTTTAGCCCAACAAGTCCACACTGAACCTCAGAGCATCCCACCCAGACCCATCCCCCTATAACCCACCTAATCTACACCTCCCTGAACACTATGGGCAATTTAGCATGGCCAATCCACCTAACCTGCACATCTTTGGACTGTGGAAGGAAACCGGAGCACCTGGAGGAAACCCACGCAGACACGTGGAGAATGTGCAAACTCCACACAGACAGTTGCCCGAGGCTGGAATCAAACCCGGGTCCCTGGCACTGTGAGGTTGCAGTGCTAACCACTGTGCCACCGTGCCGCCCCAATATATATTGCATACAAAGAGATTTTTTAATGAATAAAGTATACTTTTGAAAAAAAATTATCAGAACGTGTCCAGGAAATGCCTTCAGCAGCAGTTCCTGGAAACCGAGTTTTGGAGCCGGAGCTAGACCTGGAGCGGTGGCTGGGAACTGTGGAGAATCCATGAGGCTGACAGTAGCGTGGATTGGATATACAGAGAGATGGTCACTCCACAGATGAAGACTCCACAGGCAGGGAGGGAATGGATGACCACCAGGCAGAGCAAGAGGAATAGGCAGGCAGTGCAGTGGTCAATCCTCTATAAAACACATATCTGCTTTGGATATTGTTGGGGGGAATGCTCTCTCAAAGGAAAGTAGCAACAGCCAAATTTGCTGCACCACAGTTGGCTGTGACTGCATGAGAGGGGAGGAATAAGTGTAGGAAGCCTATAGCAATGTAGGATTCAATTGTCAAGTGAAGAGATAGACATTTCTATGGCTGCAAGTGAGATTCCTACACGGGTGCTAGGGTCAAGGATGAGCCGGTATGTTGAGAGGACATTCTGGAGTAGGAGGATGAGTAGCAAAAGGTTGTGGTACACATTGGTCGAAATAACATGGGTTAAGAAAAAGGGATGAGGTCCTCAAAGCAAGTTACCAAGCAAGTTAAAAAATAGGCCCTCAAAGGTAGTGATCTCAGGATTGGTAACAGTGCCTTGTGTTAATCAGAGTAGCAACAGCAGAATATAGCAGTTGAATACATGGCTAGAGAGATGGTGAGAGGGGCAAGGTTTCAGATTCCTGGGACATTGGGATTGGATCTGGGGGAGATGGGACCACTACAAGCTGAATGGGTTACACCCAGGCAGGATTAGTACTGATGTCCCAGGGGAAGCATTTGCTAGTATGGTTGGGGAGGGTCCAATGGTCTAGCAGAAAGAGTGATCCAAACGTTGAAGCCAGGCTTAAAGAAGCAGACTAACAGCATCATTTGATACCAAACTGCCCTGGTTCCTCCTCGGTTACAGGGCCACCCCTCACACAATAACAGGAATAGCTCCAGCAGAGTTGCTGATGGGGAGAAGACTCCGCACCAGGTTAAACCTGATATTTCCAGACCTGGGGGTGAGGGTGAAATGGCAGCAGGAATGCCAATGCTGACCAAATGCCTCATCTAAATGAGAGAGATAATTTAATTCAGGGGATGAAGTTTGGTGCTGGAACCATGGAAATGGCCTTGTATGGTACAAGGCGAGATTGACGCGAGGTCCGGTCCCGTGACTTATAAAGTAGGTGAGACAGTTCTGAACAAACATGTGGATCACCTCAAAGCTGTTACCTCGCAAACAGGTCAGGAGCAAAATGTACCTAGCCTGTCAGAACAGCCAGAAGGCCTGTCAGATACCGTAGGGTCTCCCCCTCCAACCAGTGTCGAGGAAACCTTGATGCAGCCTCAATACTGTTACCGCTGGAAGAAGAGGAGGAAACTCTCCTGAGATGCTCAAAATGCATGAGTCAGGCTATGGTCCTGTGCTTGCCATCCGTGTCAGAGTCCGAGTTAGAGGAACTGGACCTAGGGCGAAAACATTGCAGGAAAAGCTACAAGAGAAAGACCAGGCCTACTTTCCCAGACTTGGGGGGAGGGATGTAGTGATTGGAACCAGGCGGATTTTGATAACTATGAGATCCTTGATTGGGATTGTTAATCTGGGCCAACCAGGAAGCCCTGGCTGACCAATATCAAGAGGGTTTTAGAATCTCCTCAGTTCAGGCGACTGCCTCCAAGCTGGCTGGCCACAGCCAGTGTACTGTGCTCAAGTAAATAAAGGGTGACTTGGTGACAGGATACCAGCCTCTGTGCAGTTACTTCAGTGGATAAAGGGATTGATTAAGAGGAGGAAAATAGAATACAAGAGTAAGCTTGTGGGAACATACAAATTGATTATAAAAGCTTTCATAGGGATATGAAGAGAAAAAGAATAAATGAGTCAGAAACAGTGGAAATCTGGAGAGTTTTCAAAATTTCTTATTTTCCTCTTGTATAGTTGCCTCTGATTTATTATGGTTTTAGTTCTAGTTTGTTCTAGTTTTAGTTGTACG